GAGTGGAAGTTTGGATCGAAGGACGTGAGTGGCGCGTTTCTCAAGGGCGAGGTGGACGAGCGCGGCTTGGTGATTCGCGCTCCGATGCATGGTCCCTCGCTCGCAGATTTTCCTCGAGGTCGACTGGCGCGAGTTCGGAAGGGCGTGTTCGGACTGCCTACGGCGCCGAGGCTGTGGTACCTGAAGGTGGTCTCAGCAGCACGCAAGTTGGGACTCGAGCCCTCTCGCTCGGACCCCGCATTCCTGGTGCTCCACGACCCGAAAGTGAAGAAGCGCGGGCCTGACACGATGTGGGGCTGTGTCTGCGTGCATGTGGACGACTTCCTCTGGACGGGGAACGAGAAGATGGCTGCTGTGATGGACGCGCTGGGTAAGGAGTTCGGCTTCGGCAGCGAGGAGTACGACAACTTCGTGTTCTGTGGCAGGCGGTTTCAGCGACAGCCTGGAGGAGCTATTACTATTGACATGATGGAATACGCAGCTGGGCTGGAACCTGTGATTGTGCCAAGGTCACGACGAACAGCGGCGCATCTGCCCATGAACGCAATGGAGTGGAAGCAGTATCAGCAGGTGGTCGGCAAGATCAACTGGCTGGTGACCAAGCTACGCGTGGACTACTCGTACGACCTGGCAGCGCTGCAGCGTGAGAAGGGACGCAAGAAGGGCCCTAGGATAGCTGCGCTGATCAAGGCGAACCAGTTGCTGAGGGAGTTGAAGCGTAGCTCGACGTTCAAGATCACGATGCGACCGATCGACTTCCAGAGATTCGGCCTGGTGGTGGTGTCAGACAGCTCACTGGGCAATGTGATGAACGACGGGACGGCACTGCAGTCGGACCCAGCGACCGAGAAGATTGGTACTCAGGCTGGTTTCCTCATCCTGTTCGCGGACCGCGCGCTCGTGGACGGCGGAGTTGGCCGGTTCTCTTTGCTGGAGGGCAAGAGCCACAAACTGAAGCGTGCGGCAAGGAGTTCCTACGCTGCGGAGGTGATATCCGTGGGGGACGCGGTGGACGTCGCCCAAGGGATTCGCGACCAGATCGCGGAGATGATGTATGGCCCCGTGGCAAGGGGGCTGGGATGAAGTTGTCGGGCTGGCAGGTACCGATGACGGTTGTAACGGATAGCAAGGATGGACATGATAGGCTCAACTCAGACGCCGGCGTGGGGAGCTCGGCCCAGAAGTCGGTGAATTTGGAGTTGGCAAGTATCAGAGAGATCTTAGACAGGCCACAGACGATGGTACGCTGGACGGACGGGACTAATATGTTGAGCGACGTGCTGACGAAGGACATGCCGGCGGACCATCTCAGGGAGACGCTGGAGCGTGGCACATGGAGTATTGAGTTTCGAGAGGAAATGGTGAAGACGGCCCGGCGTGTCGCTCGAGAGCGCTGGGAATCCAGAATGAGGGAATTGGCCAAGGATGGCAGGTTTACACCCGGAGTCCTTGAGCCATAGTGAATGATCTGGACCTCTTTTCTCCTCCTCCAATTGTCTAAGCTCATGTTGTGCCGAGGCTAGTGCAAGTTTGTACGATCGAGTGCGATGTGGTGCGAATTATCTGCCCTCTCTCCCTCCCCGCTCGGAATATGTATACCCGATTGGACCGACTGATCCGTTTGCGTATCGTGAGAGTAAATGACAGGATTTCTGGACAGAGTTTTCTGTGTTTGATTTCATGAGCCCGGCAGCGTTGGTTCTGGGCTCGCTCCATATTGTAATTTCACCGCCATGGGTCGCGACCATGGCGACTTTATCTTGGGTGACTGTATTGATGGTTTGCCTATCAGAGGTCGGCCATCGAACTGGGCACAGATCCACAAATATCAAGAATCCGTGAGGAAAAACGAGCCCTTCGGATTGGATCTGTCCCCTGCTCTCGGCTTTAAGCCCGTTATATACTCTTTTCCCCCGCCCTTTCTCCCGCTTATCTCTCTCCCATTGCTGCCGGCTCGGTTCGAGCCGGCTTGAGGCGAATTGGTTCCTGGCAGCAGGACTGGAAAAGGGGGCTCGCTCCACCTCGAGCCCTGCGGGCTCCGCCGCCGACCCCCGCTGCGGGATCGGGAAGTCAAGAAAGGGCCCAACCCGGTTCCGCAATGTGGGCCTTGGGTGGAGCTCATAGGGGCCACAACACATGTCAGGGTTGTGCCGAAATGAGTGGCATGGACGCATGCGGGCGGCACGCTCCCTGTGGGGCCGCGAAACGTGTGAGCGGACGCATGAGGGCGACACTATGGGGGCCTTGGGTGGGGCTACGAAACGTGTGAGGGGTGTGCCGCACTAGGTGGCGGGGACGCGTGCGGCGGGCACCATGTGGGCCTTGGGCGGAGCTCATGGGGCCACAAAACATGTGAGGGTTGTGGCAGGGACACATGCGGGCGGTACCACGTGGGCCTTGGGTGGAGCTCCCTGCGGGGCCGCGAAACGTCTGAGGGGTGGGCCGAAGTGGGTGGCGGGGACGCATGCGGGCGGCACCATGTGGGCCTTGGCTGCAGCTCCTTATGGGGCCAACCACTAAACGTGTGAGAGGTATGCCGGAATGGCTGACAGGTGCGGAGGGCAGAGGCACGGATAGGACCAGGAAGGAGGGGGAGGAGGAAGGAGGAGGAGACGCGGGGCGCTGTCTGTTCAAAACGAGGATCCAGCATCCAACACCAGGAAGGGCGCCCCCCAAAGTAGCGTTGTTCTTTATCTCGATGGCTTACGCAGGCCGCCAATGTGGAAAAGAGGCCGCTTACGCGCGACCTTACGCGGCAACTTGTGCGCGAATGTCAACGTAATCGGCCTGGTGCTGTTTTTGTCGATTATGTCGTGCTGCTCCCCAAGGCGCTCTGGCGGATTGCCTTCTCAGTCCTGGGTATTTTCTTGGGCTTCGGCCTCAGGAGGCGCAATCTGGGCTCTGGGCAATCTAGAAAAGACCCAGGGCGAGAATCCAGCCCCCGGGGAAGGGTCGGAAGCTCTGGAGCCCACAGATCGACAAAACCACGACGTCGGAGGTCTGGGCCCAGCCCAACCATGAAGGAGGGGGCCATCTATGTCTTGTAAGATGTGGTCCGCCACCTTGCCCTTGGCTTGGAGTGGGCGTACCCTCAGGTCCTGCGCCTAATCCCCTGAGCCTCAGTCCTCACTCCTGGGACCCCAAATTCTCAAATCTCCCGGGGTTTGGCGCATCTTGTCGCCTGACTTGTTCGGGCCCAAGAGGGCCCCGAAACGGGCCAAGAGGGCCCCACGAGGCCCTCTAGACGGCCCAAGAGGATGCAGAGACGCCCCTAGCACCCAAAGATGAACCCAAGACGATCAAAAGAAGCCTGCAAGGCGCCCCAAGAGGCCTCTAAGGGGACTCCCAAGAGGGCCCCGAGACGCAAAGTGCAGTGCGTGCGTGTGTGCGCGCGCGTGTGTGTGTGTGTGTGTGTGTGTGTGTGTGTGTGTGTGTGTGTGCGTGCGTGTGTGTGTGTGTGTGTGTTGTGCTGTGCTGAGCTGAGCTGTGCTGTGCTGTGCTGTGTTGTGCTGTGTTGTGGTGTTGTGTTGCGTTGTTTTGAATGGCGTTGTTGTGTTCTGGTGTGTTGTGTTAAGTCGTGTGGTGTGCTGTGTTGTGGTATGCTGTGCTGTGCTGTGCTGTGCTCTGTTGTGGTATATTGTGTTGTGCTGTGCTGTGTTGTGTTGCGATGTGTTGTGTTGAGCGGCGTTGTTGTGTTATGTTGTGTTGTGTTGTGTGCTGTGTTGTCTGGCGTTGTGTTGTGTTGTGGAGTGGTGTGTTGTGTTGTGCTGTGCTATGTTGTGTTATGCTGTGTTGTGTTGTGTTGGATTGTGTTGTGTTGAAATGTGGGTGTGCGTGTGCGTGTGCGTGTGCGTGTTCGTGCGTGTGCGTGTGCGTGTGCGTGTGCGTGTGCGTGTGCGTGTCTGTGCGTGTGTGCTATGCGTGTGCATGTGCGTGTGCGTGTGCGTGTCGTGTGTGCGTGTGCGTGTGCGTGTGTGTGTGTCGTGTGTGCTGTGCGTGCGCGTGCGCGTGTGCGTGTGCGTGGTCATGTGCGTGTGCGCGTGCGTGTGCGTGTTCGTCGTGTGCGTGTGCGTCCTTGATTCGTGTCTTCAGCGCAACATCTACAATAGCTGTCGGTCACATGCCAGCCCACGCGACCCCTCGAAAATCGCTGACTGAGCGCAAGGTCCTTTAATCAGCGCAAAGTCTGTAATGGAGTCGACGCGTGGTGCGATGTCAGAATGCGGCCTGAGACTCCTCAATCCCAGGCCGTGGCTTCTCGAAGGCGGGCAAACACAAAAAGCGGCGGCCACAAACAGTTTGTGAAACCCGGGCCGCTGGCGCTTGCTACAAGTGACGCCACAGATGAAGAGAAGTCCTTCCCGACCGTGCGAGCCTCATTCAGAACTAGAACCACGCGCCCTTGCTGCATGGCGCTCGCATCCAGTTCCCATGGCACTACGTTGCACTGCAGTGCCAGTGTGAGCTCTCCATGCTCTTCACTGTTTTGAATTGGTTCGCATTGCACTGAATGGGTATGCCATTGTTCTGTAATTGATCTCTGTTCGACCCGCATTTTTTGACGCTTCGGGGTACCTCGTAATGTATGGGCAATTACTTAAGAGGATCTGTGGACTTCTCACGGCCTGGGGCTTGTTAAGACCTAAGCACGCATTGCAACCAAAAGCTTGCAAGGCAAATGAAAGGTAAGGTAATGCGATGCAATACAACTAAATACAAAACAGAACAATGCTCACCAGGACAATGCCGTTTGCGGAGCCGTGCCTGTGCACACTCGTTGGAACGCAGCAACATGAAATACAATGCAATCCAATGCACAATAACGCAAGAAGCCGTACGAACCCGAGGATTCCGGAACCTCAGAGATCCCAGGGATAAGGTGTTCTTAAAAAAGCAATGGATGCCCCTCTTCCGCCGTCAGTAAACCTCCCTCCATATGACGCTAGCGCATCAGCTCGTCCTTCTCCCTTCTCCTCGTCCCCTTCCTCCTCCTCCTCCTCCTCCCTCTCACACTCGATCCTCCGGCCGGTCGGCCAGCCCTGGCTGGCGACCATTTAGATTGCCGCGTAGTCTTTTCACGGGGACAAAGAAAAGTAACGAATCCCGCTTTCAATCAAACCACAAGCGCACCTCTCTCAAAGCAGTGCGCGAATTAGCAGAAAGCGTCTTGAACGCATAGGAACAAACGCTCGATTGAGGTAAGCTGTGCGCTGTGTCCTGGTAAAACGTGTATAGGGTGAGATTGCCCTCTGATCTTTGAAACTGGACAACTGAATGCAGGCGAGAGATGGATAGAGTAAAATGGGGCAGGGGGACAATAGAAGGAGGAAATCAACGATCCAGACTCACAGAGGTATCCCCTGAGGGTGAAGCGATGCTGTTGCACCTTTGCGACTCAGAGCCGAAGGCAGCCATCACCATCCGACGCCACCAGCGAGTTAGACCAGCAAGCGGTGACTAAGATGCAGCTGGGAACCCGAGCCGCAAACCGCCTTGAGGAAGACTGTATTCTTGATTTAATTTAGTACTTGCCCCGGCAAGACCAGGGAGAGCAGGGATCAAGCGTGCTTTGCAGTTCGCAGCTGGAACGCCGATCGCAAAGCCATGCAGCCAGGCGCAAAGCCCGTGAGCGACACCCTGGAGGGCTGGGTGAAACTTCTTGATGGAAACAGCATGGCCGCCGAACCTTGAGGTCACGCACACTCGCATAGCTAGAACCACGCGCGCGCGCGTTTCGCGCGCTTAGGTTCTAGCAAGCCCCAGTCGTGGACGCTTCAATACAATTCAACGTCAAGAAATGCAAACTGATGTACGCAATGCAGTCGATGCACTGGCAGCGCAATGCATCACATTGCCATGGAATCCAGATGCTAGGAAAATGAAACGCGAATAATTGCAAGCAAAGTGTGCGAAGCAAACGCAAGACAACGCGATGGGGTGCAGTTCAAGGCAAAGAATAGCAACGAGAAACAAGTCAGTGTGAAGCACGAAGCAATACCCATGCACGTACGACGCAAAGCAACGCAGTGCTATCAAATGCAGTGCAAAGAGCCGATCGAACCCCAGGACCCCCTGGAACTCAGAGATCCCAGGGACGGGGAGCCCCAAGATCCAGGGGAACCTAGGCAGAGGATCGCAAGTGCCACCGGGTCCCTCTCACACACCCATGGAGGGACGAAAGAGGAACGTGTGCTACGCGTACTACGCGTAAGGGAAGAGGGAGGAGGGAGAAGCAAGGATACAGGCGGAAGGATGAGAACAGACTCAGGCAGGGGTGGGTGGAAGGAGGAACGGAGGAAAGGAAAGGAAGGAGGCGGGATCACATAACGTCCACCAACGCATGTTGGCACACTCGTCACACGGATCGTGTCCCCCAAAGAAAGCCACCTACGGCCCTTGCGAAATGCTGGGTTCACATAGCGTCACCCGGCCAATTCTGGGACGGCCCTCACACGGTTCGTGCCCCTCAGGGAGCTCCACTTACTGTGCCAACATCAAAATTCGTATGGCGTCCCTCCGCCCATATCGCCAAACCCTTCACACGGAGCGTGCCCCTCTAGGAGTTCCACGTACGGCCCCACTGGGAGGATTCGCATAACGTTCCCCCGCCTATTTCGACTCACCCTCAAACGGATCGTGCCACACAGGGAACTCAACAAACAGCCCCAGAGACAAGGCTCGCATCCGCTCAGCCCATGTCGGCACACCCCTGACATGGATCGTGGCCCACAGGGAGCTCCACCGACGGCGCCAGAAAGAAAGTTCACTTGGCGTCCCCACGCCCGTTTCGGCACACCCTTCACACGGCTCGCGCCACATAAAAGGAGCTCCACCGACGGCTCCAACGGGAGGGGTGGAATGGCGTCCCTCCGCAAATTTCTGCACACCCCTGATGCGGATCGCATCCCACAAAGAGCTCCACATATGGCACAAATGGGCAATTTTGCATGGTGTCCCCACACCCGTTTCGGCGCCGCTACACGCAGATCGCGCTCGACGAGGAGATGCGGCCTCAGTGGGCACGCTCGCGCGGGGACCAAATCCTTCACGCGGATCGCGCCCAACAGGAAGCTCAGCGTGCGTATGCGCGCGAACTGCGCAACAGCACCCTATCCGGTTTGCGCCGCGGCGCGCAGTACATAAAGAGAGAGCCGCGCCCTGCGATGCACGCAGCTGCATAGGAGTAGGCCCCTCGCCAGGCAAAGTGAGTCTTTTCCTTCCACATGCGCACATACATTAACACATACATGCATAGGTGCATGCATACATAGATGCGTATGTACATACATACACATACACACATGCACCAACAATACTTGAGCCGATCAGACGGCACCACAGGCGCGGCCCCTCTTACATGCATCGTAAGGTCTCTGGGGAAGTCTTTCATAGGCTGGTTTAGGGCTTTGGGGGGGTCTCCTGGGGAATTCGTAGAGGCTTCCCGGTGCCTCTTGCAAGCCTCTTGGGGGCCCCTTGGGGCCTCTTGCGGGCGTTGCGGGAGCATGTTGAGACATCTTGGGGGCCTCTTGGGGGCATTGTGGGTCCTCTTGGCGCGGATGGCTCGAAATTTCAAATGGAATTCCCCAAATTGGGTTCCTCTTGGGGCCCTCTGGGTCTGAGGACCCGCTTTGGGCACACCCCTCACACGGTTCGTTGCCCCAAGGGAAGCTTTACCTACGGTCCCAGTGGCGCAGCCCGCATGCGGGCGACACCCCCGTTTCGGCACACCCCTCACACGTTTCGTGGCTCCGCAGGGAGCTCCACCGAAGGCCCCAGCGACACAGCCCGCAACGGCGCAAGAGCGCCCCAAGACGACCCAAAACGCCCCCAAGAGAACCCATGAAGTCCCCAAGAGGACCCAAAAAGCCCACAAGAGGCCTCTTGGACCCCAAAAAAGCTCCCACCAGGCCCCGCAACGACAGGACTGCACGTGCTCCGAAGGTGAACCCCGCGAAGCGAAAAGAATCTCCTCGACGCGAGGAGCCGCATGTCTGGGCACTTCATGACGAATATGAGACAATTCGACTATTACAACAAAAACCACTCGCGCGCTGCCGGCTGCTGGGCGTCGCCGCTGAACTCCGCCGGCTGCCCCGACCCGGAGGAGGCGCCGTTGCTGGAAGCGGCACGCCGGCTGGGTGCTCTTGGACGATGCCAGCCATGTACCAGACCGGTCCGATGCACGCGCGGCGGTGTCCATCGAGCTGGCCTAGGCGATCCAAATTCTATCAATGTCCCTGCTCAGGCCCCGAACCTCGTCGCGAGGGGCCAGAGCGGGGTTATGGGTAAAATTCGGGCCTCCAAGGCCATGTTTTTCGCTCCACACGCTGCTGCATCTGGCGCCCCCAGTGGTGGTCAGCAACAGGGGTATGGATCGCACGCCGATCGCCGATGGTCTAGACTGCATGTCGCAGGCCTCGAGATTGACACCAACACCAGCATCGGCGGCGTGCCTCCACCGAGGGACGAAGATTCTGGTCTCGGTGATGAAGCTAATATTTTGGCTTCCAAGGTGGCCGAAATATTACCACCAACACCGAAATCTAGGACCATCTTCTCCCTGTGGAGGCAACCCCCTGTGCTGGTGTTGGTGCCAATTTCCAGGCCTCCAATGCAGGGCGGAGATATCGCTACACGGTGGGGGGGGAGACAATCGGCACACGCCAGCATGGATTATCGATCCGTGGATCTGGCGCGCGGGCGCTGGAGGAGGAGGAGGAGGAGGAGGAGGAGGAGGAGGAGGAGGAGGAAGAGGAGGAGGGCTGGACTGCATGGCTGCCACCGTCCGCTGCTTGCGGGAGCCCTGCCCCGACCCCGTGCGAGCGCTCGTCGACGGGGCCCGGCGGGCGGCCGCCCTGCCGGCACTGCCCTCCCCGGGGCGCGCGGCCGCCGCCCGCAGAGCCTTCGGCGCCACCGGGGGCGCCGTCGGGGCCGTCCAGCGGCGCGGCCGCGGCCGCCTCGCCCTCCTGGGCAACAACACACACACACACACACACACACACACACACACACACACACACACACACACACACACACACACACACACACGCACGCACGCACGCACGCACGCACGCACGCACGCACGCACGCACGCACGCACGCACGCACGCACGCACGCACGCACGCACGCACGCACGCACGCACGCACGCACGCACGCACGCACGCACGCACGCACGCACACGCCACACACACACACACACACACACACACACACACACACACACACACACACACACACACACACACACACACACACACACACACACACACACACACACACACACACACACACACACACACACACACACACACACACACACACACACACACACACACACGCACGCACGCACGCACGCACACACACACAAAAAAAACGCACACACGTCTGTGGGAGACAACAACGCACGCGTGTGTGTTTTGTTCCCGCATCCTGTTGTTTCCCCTGTTGTTTTTGTTCCGACGTCATCCTGTGTTTCCCCCCCCCCCAGTGTGTTTTTTTCCCACAGTGTGTGTGTGTGTGTTTTTCCCACAGTGCCTGCCGCTGCACGGCGCGGCGACGCTGCGCGGCCACCCGCAGCTCCCGCCGCCGCGCCGCCTTGTCGGCAGGGAGACCGCGGGGCTCGGGCTGCTGGTCGTCATCCGGCTCTGGCTGGGGCCGCAGGTCGCTGGTCGCACACGCCGTCGGCTCCGAGTCCTCGGGGATGGAGCTGGTGCTCCTGAAGGGGCCCTGGGACACACAAATCAATACACGCAAATGAAACGATTCCCCATATTCTCCCCCATATTTTATGGGTCTTTGTCTTCCCCCCCCCCACTTCCCACATTTTCCCATATTTTGCGGGGATGGACAGACCCCCCTTTAGTAAAACACGGTTTAGTGAGTGAGGCCCAAACCTGGCGGGCGCAAACCTGGAAAAGAACGGCCGCGGCGCCCTCTCGACAACCGAAAACGGACAATCCACTCATCGACGGGTCAGGGGCCTGTCCACCCCCGAATATTGTCTGGGGGATCGACGATTCATGGTGTTGGCGGCGCGCACAAGGGGGTGGGGGGAGGGGGGAGGGCTTCTTAGAAGCAGGCTGCTTCTTAGAAGGCGCCGGCCTTACATCTATAGACAAGGCCCGCGCCTTCTACGAAGCAGGGGCGCTTCTAAGAAGCCTTCCCCCCTCCCCCCACCCCCCTCTGCGCGTGGCTGATGGTGTCTGTGTGTTTGTTTGGACACCCGAAATGGGTACCGAAAGAATGGGTACAATGCCCAACAACAAATGTTGTCCCAAACCAACAGCGGCCGCTGTTGGGCAGGCGGCCTTCTGCCTCGAACGGACACAGGCCGCGGCGGCGTGGACAGCGAGTCCTGTTCAGAATGAACAGGAACTGCTGTTGGGCATCGTACCCATTCTTTCGGTACCCATTTCGGGCGTCCAAAGAGGGGGAGGAGGAGGAGGAGGAGGAGGAGGAGGAGGAGGAGGAGAAGGAGGAGGAGGAGGAGGAGGAGGAGGAGGAGGAGGAGGAGGAAGAGGAGTACGCAGCCTGAAGGGAGTCCGTCGCGCGACGCGCCAACGGCCACTGGAATGCGAGCCAAGACCCAACGGCCTCGGCTCCAGCGCTCGCATGGCGCCCACCCCAAGGAGCCCATCCGAAATCGGGATCACGGCGGGGAGGGCGCGCAAGCGCAGTGAGAGCACGCAAAGAAGATAGGCGAACTCTTATAGGAAAACCCTCAAACGAGTTAAGTGAGATTCAACCAGTGAACCTCGGGGTCATCGACTCTGAGGCGCCTCTGACCAGATATGGATTCGTGCCGCTTATAGTCGGCAGGGTGCCTGTTGGTATTGAAACGCAACATGTGACCTGCAGCACGATTAGAATATGGTGGGGGCGGGCAGCTGGAAACCAACGAAGAGGCCTTGCCCGTAGAGATGCCCCCACAAGTCATACATATGACCACGGCCCCTGGGGCAACGAAAAGCTCATGGCCTCTGGCCGCCTCGGGAGGGATTTCACCAGCGCGGGGCAGGGGGCGGGCAGGGCGAGAGCACGGATCGGCGGCAGGCCCACCCCCTGTTCCCCCAAGGCGCCTAGCCTTGATAGGCGGCTCCCTCCCGAGCGGCCTGAAAGAGGCCCAGCGAGGCGGGGGAGGAGGGGGGGGAGGGGCAGAAGCAGCAGGCCGCGCCTCGAACTCGCGGACGGCCTGGACGAGCGTGTCGTCGCGATGAGCTGCGAAAGACACACCCTGAACCGTAGACGGCGCAGGGCCTAAGAGGCGAGCACGAACCATCCTCGGAGGGGGGGAAAGCGGACGAGCTCGCACCTTGGAAGCCTGAATGCGGGCATGAACGCGCCTGAAAACCTGAGCAGGGGACTCTCCCTCATCAGGCTCAGGTGTCGGAAGAACTCCTCCCCCTCCCGACGGCGACGGCGACGACAGGTCCACCTCCCCCCCCAGAGAGTGTGTCCTATCCAGAGCAGGCCCAGACCGACTCTCGCCTTCGCGTTGCAACGACCTCTCCGACGACGACTCACGACTGTCAGGCACAGAGAGGTCAGCCTGGAGCCTAGCTCGGACTCTCCGAAATTCCTCCAACGGCGAGGCCGATCGCACGCGCGACTGGCCTACAGGAGCCTCCGAAAGGTTCTCATGAGAAAGGGCTCCCTCGTCCCCCTGGGTGACCTCAGGGACCAGGAGACGATCACACAAAAGTATCTTCGCTGGGCACTGGCGACGCGCGAAAATCTGACGCTGCTTGGTTGTCCCCACAAACTTAGCGCAGATCGGGCACCGCCAGCCTTTGCCAGACGGGAAGAACGTATGAAACATATTGGCGTCAACTGGTTTTTGGGCTTTAGCCTTGGCTCGAGCACGACGCCTCTCCCTAAAACGAGTTTCGCCTGGGGCAACCGTGGCCCCTAAATAGTGGGTGTGGGCCCTGGCAATCCAAACTAAACCTTTGCGGGCTGATTTAAAAAGGAGCTCTACATGCTTAGCTACTGCTGTGGGGACGGCGTGCATGTCTCGGCCCTGGCAGGCCGCGAAGTCAGCCCACCTGTTCCCCCGAGCTTCGTATCCCTGACCTTTCTGATGCCCAGGTACATGAACAATCTGAAGGTCATCCGATAGGCCTCCAAGATCCGCAATGCGCCGCCATATTTCACACCACAGATCTGCGTTTGGACGCCTCGGATGACAGCCCCAGGCCGGGCCTCGCTCGAGACCTTGAGGTAAATCCAAATAGTCAGTCAGGATTCTCAAAGGAAGGATAGCGATGCGCAATATCTGGACCACTGCAAACAACTCCGCACGAGGCGATGTCTGGATCGGCCCTGGCAGTGGCCCATATACAACCAAGTCAACCATGTTCTGCCGAATCTGAGCGAACCCCCAGCCCGCTCTCGCGGCCTCAGCCCAATGAGAAAACTTACGGCATGCCCCATCTGAAAACACGTCGCCTGTGACAGCACTTGCATCTCCGTATAGGACGCGCCATACTTCACTGTCGTCACGCGCAGGTAACGGCGGCAATGTAGTCTTGGCGAGCAAACCTCGAGCCCAGAACCACGAGGAAGGAGAGACTGCAGGTAAACACCCTTGCTCCTCCGCATTGCCAAACACCTCACTGCGCCCATCTTCATTGTATTCACAAACCCACGGAATATGGAAAAGATCAGCGTGTGACTCCGAGCAGCAAGGGCATGTAGCAGTGTCCGAGTACCCATGCTTAGCCCTTCGCGATGGTGGCCAAAGTCCCCCAGTCACTACTGCTCGTAGCGTAGCTGCTTGTTGCTTCGTTAGCACATAAGGTTTATCAGGATCTTCCTCCTCCAGCGTTCTGCCCAGCACACTGATCACTGGTGCCAGCCAATATCCCGCCGAGGACTTCGGATCTAACTCCGTGCCGTGATCACGATCGGGACGGCGTGACCAGTCAAACCAAAGCCGCCTCTCAGCAGCTTCTCGGGCCAAATCGCGTACGGATAACGGCGACCACGTTCGAAGGTCAAGTTTGTCTCCTCGATCCGTCTGCCATTCGAAAGCGGACCTAGACACCCAGCCCAAATCACGAATAGCTAATAACATGGCCCCACAGGGCCCTGCCACACGGCCCCACGGCTTGGCCGCGCGATAAACAATATATATTTGTCTTATCCAGGCTTGTTGCAGAACACCGTGTAGCGTATTGTCCCAACACAACAGCGCCCATTGGAAGACTGGGTCGGCCCAGGCGGAAACCTGCGGATCCTGCGTGCTGCTGCCCTGGAGAAAAGTAGAAAGCCAGGCCGAACCTTGTTTCCCTGGTTCATACCAAGCGCCCCTGAGGGCCCGCCTCATGGCATGCACAAGTGACGGAGGGGCCCCATGAACACCCACACCATATGTTAGAGCTCCAGGAATGGCCTGCTTGGCGAATTTACCCAAAATAGGGCCGGCCTTTCGTAGGCGTCGAAACCGAGCTTGACGAGTTCTCATCTTCCCGATCCTGGTCCTGAGACGAGCGTATCTAATCGGCCTGCTAGAAGCCACCTCCACCCCCAGGACCTCGAGCGCGTCGACGACCCGATATCCAAAAACGCCGATGCGACGACATACCTGCCTGGCATGCTTCAAGTTAGAGCTGGTAACCGTCATTTTTCGCTTAGCCGCTTTAAGATCGACATCCTCTAGTATGATGGCTAACTCTGACAACACCTCGCACGCGTGCTCGACAATGTACCTGACCTTAGCGACGACCTGAATTGTGATATCGTCCGCGTATAGGTGTAAAGCACGATGGACATGAGATGTGGCAGACAGCAGGGAGTCGATGGGAGTGAGAAGGACGAGCTGCAAGACAAACATGGCCAGGCTGCAGCCTGGCAAGACGCCTCGCCTCGCCCACACTGGGTCAGAGTAGGCG